CCATAGAGTCACTCATGTGCTTCCCAGAAAGGAGCTCATGTCTGGAGGGTATATTTTCTTCTGTTATGTTGATGTTTTCTTCTTAATTTATAGGATTTTTTAATGTAAAATTGCACTGAACTCTATAAACGTAAATGCTGCTTTTTGTAGCCCATATTAAAAAGGTTCCGTATTTGTAGTATACTGCAATAATATTTTTTACATCCAGCTCTTTAAGTGATCCTTGTTCTGGTGGCTTTCTGTAAATATGTTTGCCCTAGTTGAATTAAGAAACTTTAAAGGTTATAAGGTTAAAAAAATAAATAAATAAAGTATTTGTTTTCTGCTAGATACAAAAGTGACTAAGCATGTATATTTTATCAAGCTCCTGTATTTTTTGAAGTTATGAACTATAAAAATGTTTTTGTTTTTTGGTTTTTTGTTTTGTTTTTGCTGGGACAAGTGTTAAGTAATTTGCAGTAATTGGTTTATTCTGTACTGGGATTTTTGAGTTGATGGGCAGCAAACAGCTGCAGGCATCAGAAGGATGCTCAGTTGCAGTGGTCTCCCTGACATGCTTTGTTATACAGAGAAACAATTGACTCCATGGAGGAGGGGAAGATTGATTCAGCAGCTTTATTCTCTGGAAGCAGTGACACTCTCGGCGATTGTCTGGGAAGAGGGAGGGACCCTTGGTTTCCCTTGGTACCTTGTTCCAGACAGTCTATTTGCCTTCCTAGTATTTAGCCCCCTCTGACAATTTTTTTAATGTGCCTTTTGGGTTGGCTAGAAACTAAAATAGAAGTAGACCAGAGGATAATAGAGTTGGGACAGTTTTCTCCTCTTTTTGCTGGGAGGTGAGCACGTTTATAGGTACTTTTAGGTCTTTGGCTTCACAGTTGTATGCCGTCTGCCTAGCTCGATTTCAGCAGTAGAGATTCCTCTTGCTTTTCTCCCGCGACGCTGACCAGAAGTGCACCAGTCCCTCTTCCCCGCTTGCCTTCACCCAGGCTCTCAGCCCTAGTTAACACTGGCCCAAAGGTGCTTGTAACGCAGGTGTCATCTCCTCTGCTGTTAGTGCTTGCTCTTCTTGTAACTGGGACCGGTTAAGCTGACAGCTGACAAGATAAGCCCTACTTGCCTAGGCCAGGGTTTTCTATTCATGGCCTTCTCAGATCCCCAGAAGGAAGAGGTTTTGAGTTTCTGAGAAGCAAGTGCTGAGCAAATGAGGCCTTGTTTGAGCCCGTCCTACCTGCTCAGTCTTCACCTAATTGGGAAATACCACTCTTTGGAGAACTGGCCCTAGAAAAATGAAATCATCGATTTGAGGTGAAGGGACTCATTTTCCTTGCTTTCAGCCCATGTAAATATTGAAATAAAACAGTATTAACATTTGTGCTGCTTCCCGTTAGGTTGTAGATTGAGCCATACTCTGGCTGCCTCTCTGCTTTCCTGGAGGCAATTTTTTCTTTAACTTCCAGAATAGTAGTTTTAAAACTTCAGAAAAAAAAAGGAAAAACAAAATAACCTATCCTTACTTACAAGCATAACAGATTGTATTTAACTTTATCACATACGATAGAGATATATATGCTGTAAAATGAGGGAAAGGAACTTTCTAATAAACCAATGCTTTGTGGAAACTTAGCAGAGTCCGTTGTGATTGTTGCCACTTCCACTCCCTCCAGCTGGGACAGGTTGGAGTTGTGGGTTATAAACAATGTCTTAAAAAAAAAATGTCTTGTTGGAAGTAATTAACAGATCCTTATAAACCTGGTGGGGACATTGGAATTGTTCTTCTGGAGCTCGGTTTACCTCCAGGATTTACTTGTGTGTGGCCTTCCCCTTCGTAGGCAGATGACTGGGGGTGCACAGTACTTTTAAGGGCAACTTGAATTACAGGATTTGTCCGGCCTTTGACCTCCAGCTGTACCCGTATTAACTCGGCTTGAATTACTGTCCTCAACCCCTGACCAGCACATGCCAGGAAGTCACGTGGGCCCAGGGAATCTGGCATAGAAGGCATGCACAGTGATGGAGCTGTGTTGTGTCTGTCTCCTCCCTCCCTTTGATGCACTTGTGTGCTCTCTTCTACAGAAAAGCTGAATGTTCACAATTGTTTGCCTGAGATGGTGGAGATCTGTGTCTCAGAAAGGTGTTAGAAAATGAAAAGGGAGCCAGGCGGTGGTGGCCTTTAATCCCAGCACTCGGGAGGCAGAGGCAGGCTGATCTCTGTGAGTTCAAAGCCAGCCTGGTCTACAAGATCTAGTTCCAAGACAGGCTCTAAAGCTACAGAGAAACCCTGTCTCGTAAAAAAAAAAATAATTCCTTTTTTTATTTCTTTTTTCCTTTTTGTTGTTTTTCTTCTTCTTGGGCTTCAGGCATACACCCAACTAATACACAGACATACTTGCATGAAAAACATTCATCACAAAAAAAAAAAATGTAAAAATACATTTTTAAAATAATGAAAAGTTAATTTCTGAGAGCAAGGAAGGCAGCAAGTAGAAGAGACAGGGCTACCTAGCTTGTGCTGTGTGAAGTCAGCCTGCCTGCAAAGCCTGTGCTCTGTGATGTCAGTTGTGATAAGAGCTCAGCCTTGTAAGCTGGAGACTCTTGAAGTACTCCCTCTTTTACAACCTTGATGCCTGATCCAGACCGTGTCAATCATTTCTATTCTCGTTGACACAGAAAGCTCCACCTTGCTCATACCAACTGATCTGCTCACTGCAGCAATTTCCTGGCTGATGTCCCTAACTAGGATCTAACCCCTGCCCCATGTCAGAACCCTAGTGCCATCCATTTTATATTCACTGCTTCTGGTAAAAGGGTGAGCTCTGAGAAGACAAGCTAAAATTGTGTCTCCTTAAAGGCAAACAAAACATGTACTTTTTGTTACCTTGCTCAATGCCAAGCCATGATAAAAGCTTGATGGTTGCTGATTAAATGAAGCCAAAACAGAACTGGGTTCATTGAGGGATTCTAGGACCGGGCCCATGGATAGTACCAATCATCGACCCACGTCCAGCAGAGAGGTGACCCAGTTCTGACGCCGAAAGAATGCAGTCCTCTCCTTGGTCCAAATCTCATCTCTCCTTGGGGTTCTGGTTTTACTGAATAACACAGTCCACCAACTAGCCAAGCACCAAAACTTTTGAATTACCTTTGGCCACTTCCAGCTGCTGATTCTGTCCTTAGCTGTTGTTTCTCTCTTGGTTTTTGGAAATTGAGCCTTGCTATGTAGCCTTGGATGGTTTGGGTGACTTGCTATATGGTCCAGGCTTTCCTCAAACTTGGTGTGTCTCTTCCTGCTTCATCTCCTGCTGGGTTGTAGTCCTGTGTCACTATGCCTATCTCTGTTGGCTTATTACTACCAGTACCTGATTCAGGTATCACCTTCAGCCCAGAATGCTGCCCTACCCAGCTGGTCTTTCCACAAAGTCCGTCCTTCCTCGGGCAGCGAGTGTCATGTTCTAAACTGGAGCACAGTTTGTCATTGAGGCTCTGTCTTAGGGTTTCTACTACTTCAGTGAAACACCACAACCAAAGCAACTCGGGGAGGAACGGACTTCTCTCAGCCTAGACTTCCACACCACTGTTCATCATCAAAGGAAGTCAGAGCAGACACCGAAGGCAGGAGCTGATGCAGAGACCATGAAGGGGTGTGCTTACTCTTGCTCAGTCTGCTTTCTTGTAGAACCCAGGACCACCAGCCCAGGGATGGCACCACCCACAATGGGCTGGGCCCTCCCCCATATATCACTACTTAAGGAAATGCCTTATAGGCTTGCCTGTAACCCGATCTTATAGATGCATTTTCTTTTTTGTTTGTTTTGTTTTTTCTGGTTTGTTTGTTTTTTGAGACAGGGTTTCTCTATGTAACAGTCCTAGCTGTCCTGGAATTCACTCTGCAGACCAGGGTGGCCTCAAACTCAGAGACCCACCTTGCCTCTGCCTTATAAGTGCTGGGATTAAAAGTGTGAGCCACCACCACCCAGTGGGAACCTGAGTTTGAGTCCTAATTTTGCTGCCCGTTGGCATTCTACACGTAGACAGTTTACCCAAAATTCTTCTGCTAGTTTCGCCCTTGTGATATAGTCGGAGTCGTATCCATTTCATAGTCATCTCCTCATTTCCATTCCTAGGTTTACTTGCTGTCACCCGGCGGCAGTCCTGAGTGTCCTGGGCTTAACTGTCTCTGGACTAAGTTGAGGATCCTTGACTGTTGTTGTCGTAGCCACTATACATCAAACAGAGGAGGTACTTTTTTAAAACTCTGGTGCGTGGGAGCTGGGTGTGGTGGCACTCAGAAGAGGTGAGCAGATCTCTTGTGAGTTCGAGACCAGGCCAGCCTGCTCTACAGCTCTACAGAACTATTTCCAGGACAGCCAGGACTACATGGTGAAACCCTATTTCAAAAAAAAAAAAAAAAAGTCCTCTAGTGCATGGGGCTAGAGAAAGATGGTTCAGCAACTCAGTATTTACTGCTCTTGCACAGGACCCCAATTCAGTTCCTACATCCATGTCAGGCAGCTCCAGGGGGTCCGACCTCCTCCTCCATGGGCGCTTGTACGCACACGGTGCAGATAAGCACACACACTTGAATAACACGTTTAACAACAGCAGAAATCACGGTGGCGCATGTTTTTAATTTAAGCAGAGGCTGGCAGATCTCTTGAGTTGAGGTTAACCTGGTCTAGTCAGTTCCATGATGTCAGGGCTACACAGAGAAATCCTGTCTTGAGAAACAATCTAGTCCATAAACTGCAGTTGGTGATGGTATTCTTACAATATCAGAACTCCAGAGATGGAGGCAGAAAGATCAGAAGTTTACAAGTCAGCCTGGACTAAATGAAACCCTGATTTAAAAAGAGGCCTCTTTTTTTTTTTTTTTTTTTTTTTTTTTTTTTTTTTTTTGCAGCACTGAAGTTTTTATTCATGTGAATTGTTAAAAATGGGCATCTATACCAGTGTCAAATGAGGGTGGGAGAGGAAGGGGAGGCAAGGAGAAGGATTCCCGTCTATTGGTAATAAAGCTCCAGGTTCATCCCATCTTGGATTTCATAATCTCCCAGAGACACGTGGTCCTTAAAAATCGTGTACCACTTTTTTTTTTCTTTCAGTTTATTCATATGATTGATTACACTGATAAATTTTTGTATGTTAAACCAGACCTGAATCTCTGGGATGAAGCCTACTTGAATGTAATGAATGATTTTTTTTTCTTTTTTTTTTTTTAAATCGTGTACCACTTTTTAAGAATGATCTTATTCCACCGAGTGCCAGTTTGGGCTGCTCTCAGTTTCTTCAAGTCCCCAATGGTGTCATCGGTGTTGCACTTGACGTGGACTTTATTTCCTAGGCGGTTGTTGCAAACCACCTCAATCATTGTGGCTGGACCTCTAAACCCCTCGAACTTATCGACGACACAACTCCTGAAGCCTCTTTTTTTTTTTTAAAAAAAAGGATGTTGGGAGTGGGGAATAAGCCCAAAAAGAAGGCTCAATGAACAACAGCACATGACTGCCAAACCTGGTGACTCGAGTTCAGTAGTCCTGCTAACTCCACGTTCATGCTTCAGCACACGCATGTGCACAAAGCAGGTCTTAAACTATGATTAAAAGTGGGAGGGGTTTTTTGTTTGTTTGTTTTTGAGACACAGTTTCTCTGTGGCTTTGGAGCCTGTCCCGGCACTGATTAAAAGTTTTTGAAGCAGGTGGTGGCGCACGTCTTTAATCCCAGCACTCGGGAGGCAGAGGCAGGTGGAGCTCTATGAGTTCGAGGACAGCCAGACCTACACAGAAAAACCCTGTCTCAAAAAAAAAAAAAAAAAAACTACAATGTGATGTGAGTTCCCATTGTTGGGCTACACAGAATATGCCAGCAATGCAGGAAGCCTCGGTGAAGAACAGTGGGAAGATGGGGGCTCAGCAGAGGCCACGTGGAGCATCATTCTGACGGAAGGGGCGGCACTGAGAACACACCAGTGAAGAAAGGCCTAAGTAAAGCCCACAGGGCATTTCACTTAGTGGGGGATAAAATCTTTAGCTGTTTGCTGAGATGATGAAGTATGAGAGGAAGGGAGGAGCTAAAAGGGCTTCAAAATGGGATAGGTTGGCCAAGTAAGGTAAGGCAGTGGTTAATCAGAAATGAAGATCAAACCTGAGTGCATGGCTCAGTAATAAAGCACTTGTCTTACAGGTGTGAGGCTGTTCCTAGTACTGGAGAGAGAGAGAGAGAGAGAGGGGGGGGGGGGAGAATATGAACACAGGCTAAAAGGAGGGTGTGGCTATGTTCTTTTATTTCTTTGCTTTAGGGCCAAAGGCTCACAAGACCAACAGGGCGTGGTGCTCCTCTACTTCCCTCGCCCACAGAAAAAGCCTTTCTCCTCGGAGCTTGACCCTTTCCACTCTGTCACCGTCTGCTTCCTCCATCCTTTAGGAAGACTTTGGCAGCAGCACGTGCTGGGACAGCGGAAAGGATTCGAATACTCAACCCAGTAAAGAGCGGCATCAGAGTCATCAGGGGCCAACCCGAGGATGCCATCCAGAATCCGTTCTTTTTCTGTCTGTTTTCCAAGACAGGGTGTCTCTGTGTAACAGCCCTGACTGTCCTGGAACTCGATTGGTAGACCAGGCTGGCCTTGAACTCACAGAGATTGTCCGGCCTGAATGCTGGGACTAAAGGCATGTGGCTCAGAATCAGTTGTTTATGGCTAGATGTACCCTGTCACCCAAGAAGGAGTGAAGCTGTCCACCTGAACAGCTGGTGCCTAAATTCAGGGACTGTGAACAGCACACCCTAGCATGATGTCATTTTAGCCCCATCGCCTTTCCTCTTAGACCAGGATCTGTTCACCACCCTTCCCCCAGTATTGAAGGCACTAGGGTAGCCGTACTAGGACTTGGTGCAAGGTGGAGAAAACTGATGAACCAATACTGCTGGCCGAGGCTGTCCAAAGGCTCTAGGAGGAAGAAGTGGGTAGATGCTGTTCTCAGAATGATGGCAGCCTCAGGTCTTATCAGGGAAGAGCAGTTTCCTTCCTCCTTCCTCCACCTCTGGCCAAGTCATGGTGTTCAAGAGCAGGACAGTCAGCTAAACGGGGAGGAAAGAACTGCTCAACTCTGGGTCACGGTGAGGTAGAACAGGCCAGTTCACAGTTGCGCTTTCCCAGACAGAGAGGGACAGTGGCTGGGCCAGCGTGGGACAGTGGGGATGAGAAGGGTTTTCAAAGCTGGGTGGCAGCAGCACACGCCTCTAATCCCAGCACTCGGGAGGCAGAAGCAGGTGGATCTCTGAGTTCCAGGCTAGCCTGGCCAGAGTGAGTTCCAGCTCAGAGAGAGAGAGAGAGAGAGAGAGAGAGAGAGAGAGAGAGAGAGAGAGAGAGAGAGAGAGAG